GTAACCCACATATCTAGCCCCTTACTCCATGCTGGTTTCTCACTTAATGTATATAAACTACAGAATGGGTAGCATCTTTAGTTGTTGCAGTAAAAACACTGGTTTACTGACTGACAAAACAAAGTTTTTAAAGACTGCAATTCAGGCCACTTGAGGCTGGCTCCAAAAGCCAGACAATCCCCATTGCCACTATAAACACATATCTCAATATGAACATTAATCTGCAGCAATGGTTGCAGTTCTTTTTGTTTTGATTTTTTTAGTATTCTAGCTGTTTGGTTTCAATCTGTCCTCCTTTTGTAGTCTGAATTCTTTTGACCAGTCATGTTTGAGCAAGCCTCAGTTGCCTTGAGGTAAACAGTCCGTATGGTAAGGAGGGATGGCTTTTGCACAAATGCTGTGAATATCCATTGGTTGCTGTCTATAAACTATCGAGTCTTCAATGAACAAGATTCTGTTTGTGGTGTTGGTGGCTTTTGGAGCATTTAATGGATAATATTGCCTAAAGTCTACACGCTACACCCCAGAAAGCTGATTCTGCTCATCTGGAGAAATGTTTCATCACTCATCGAAGAAACTTCTTCTTTAGGCTTTCGAGGATTTCTGGGTTTATGCTTCATGGTAGTGGAACCAAATGCATAACATTTACAGAAGTGCAATACTACTTGACTTGTAGGTTGACACAATAGATTTTATTGTCTTTTCAGAAAAAAGAAATGAGGTAAAAAGAACAAAAGCTGCTTCACTTCTAGGCTTCCTCTTGATGACATGGATGTCTAGCCTCGGGTGCGTCTGCTACACAGCACAGATCTCAGTTGCTCGACAAAAGTATCAGTGCTGCCAGATAACCTGCTTTCTACAGAGGCACTATTGTCACAGGGTGAAACCGAAATCCTGCACCTCTGCAGCAGTCTATGCTGCTCAGACCCGGTGCAGTTCATCAAAGCAAGTAGAGAAGGCGGAAGAAGGACGAAGAAATTATATTCCTGCTCCAATGGCCCAAACATTAAGGGGAAAAAAAAACATGATTTCTAACAATGACTGCAGCAGATGTAAATCTGGGAAGGTCATCAGCGGACCTGCAAGAGATAGCAGCAGCCACAGCAGTACTAGGATCACTCAGAACACTAAAATGCATGCAAGATGTTCTAGGATTACACAAGATCATAAACTATATTTCACTACTAACATTCATCCAATCCTAGAAAAGAAATGGCTTTCTTAAAGTGATGAAAAAAGAAAAAAAACAGATGACTTATGGGGGAAGCTGGCTTGTTACACAGGGAAAAGCACTTACTCAGGATGCACTGCAGGACTGAAATGTTGTCACGATTCAGCTTAACTTTTGCAGGTGTGCAAGCAGATTAAATGGAGTGATTGAGGCAGACTTCCTCCTATCTTTCTATCGCTTTCTATCCAGAACTTGATTAACTTGGGGGGGGGGGGGGGCATATTGATATAAGCGGGTTACATTGTGTCAAAAGCAAGCGAGGGAGCCTCGCATTAGGGATTAAGGATTTAGCTCTTGACATGCTCCTGTGATTAGTTTCATCTTTCACTGGTTAACTCATGTGTCAGTTAGAGTGGCTCTTAGGAAGATTTTACTGCATATTTCCAGCTTGGCATCATTCTACAACAAAAAGTAGAAGTGCTTAGATATTTTTGAGCGCACAATAAAAGAAAATATATAATCATCACCTTTGCAGTACAAAGCCAGTCACAAACAGTCACAAAGGAGTAATCATTCTAAAACCATTTAGCAAATGTGAAATAAATCATCCGTTATTACTTGCGGTCGACTGCTGGGCGAAGCTGTGGGCATTACTCGCATTAACAAACTAATTATGCCAGTGTAAGGAACGAAGAGCTTTTCCATTTTGCAGGAGGAACACAAGAGTGACAAGTGGGCGTCCTGAGGGAAAACCCTCTGCATTATCAAATCTCAAATTCATTTCCAAAAGCCTTAATGGCCTGTCTATAGCACCCCTAGAACCAGGTGGGCTAAAAGGGCAAGCAAAGTGTAGAAATGTAATAAGCTAAATCATCACAGATGGCAACTTTGGCTGATTTAATTGCTTCTTTGGATTACCAGAGCTATGCCTCCAAAGTAAATATGAAGGTATAATTATAATAAATACAAAGTTACATCTGTAATGCTTCTTGAATCTTGCCAGCGGCAGTTCTGCATGTATTTTAGCTCTACCAGGTGGCCTCTTCAGTGAAACCTTTAAAAAAATGCCGCTGATTGTGTTTCCATGACAGAAACTCAGTTCCAGCACAGAGACCTCCAGGGTCAAATAGGTCACATGATCTGTAAACTTAGATAAAAAAAACAACAAAAAACAGGAGTCCAAACACAGAACAATATGCAAAAAAGTTTCCATGATCTCAACCAATTTCAAATTTTTATAAACTTACATTTTCCTTTCTTTTTTTTTTTTTTGCTTCTCCTAAGTGTAAACCACTGGCCAGATGTTCATTTGCTTCCCAGCAACACAAACACATTTTAATAGGTCAAACAGACACTGCTTAGTTAGACTGACTAGTCAAGCATCCCTGGAAAATGTGCATCTGCTGGTCTTGTTTTTTTAAAGTCCAAGGATTACACTCTCCTTGATGTCCTAAGAAAACGACCCTACTTTTTTCTAAAGCTTAAGCTGGAGTGGCATGGTGATGTGGTGGATAGCACCATCACTTTACAACAAAAAAGGCATTGGATCAAATCTACCAAACAGCTGGGGCATTTACTGGGGAGTTTGTCCGGTGTGGGTACTCCCACAGTCCAAAGACATGAATGCTAGGTTAATTGGTGATTCTAAATTGCCCATAGGTGAAAATGTGTCTTTGTCTGTCCAGGATGTACCCCACCTCTTGCCCTGTGACAGCCAGTATAGTTTTCAGAACAAGTGTGACCTTGGAGAAGAAAATGTATGAATATGACATCTCCATAAATATCACAATAAAAATATTGAGAGGGTGTGCCCGTAAAAATGTAAAACATCAGGAAAAGTAATTAAATACTAGAAGGCGTAACACACCCGCGCCCCCATTACTACCATAGTAATATCATGTATATTCAGTCCTACAGTAAGTAGACTGGTATCAGCATGTCTTTGTACATACACATGTAAATCTCCCCAAGACATGACTATAATCCAAGCACTAAACAGCTCAAGTTTTCAAGTGTTCATCACGTAATTATTAATAAACTCACTCCATATTTGGTTTCTTCTCAAGTTACTGGATAAACCTGCAGCACAGCGGTGGCACGACCCCCCCTAGTAACTCTTTCTTTAATCAATAACACGATTTCATTTACATGTTACTTGAGTTTATTACGATTGCACAACAGCCCAAATATCCAATAGTTTGTTATTTGAACTTTTGATTCCAAAGGAGCTTCATGGAGATGTATTTGCCATCTTGTTCAAATCAATTTGACTGCTCTGGACACTGTGTCCTAGTTAAAACACAGCGTGGCACATAGAAACATCTGTCTCAGCCCCTGGCCAAAAACACACGAATCAACAACAACAACTTGAACTGTCAAAAACATATGTTGCAGCTCACATTTCACTGGAAATTCAAATGGGATCAGTTGTAAAAAAAAAAAAAAAAACCTAACAAAAAGAAGTGTAATTAAACCTAATGGTACTGCACAGCGTATCTGTCATCACAGCTGCTCATCACTAATCTTCTCTTGTCTTAATAAAATTCCAAAATCCTTATTTACTGTGGGAGACTTGCTGCTGCATGAAATGTCCAGTTTGTTTAGAAGCCCAGAAATATTTAGGGACTCTGTCTTTTTGGCTCACAAACACTTTTGATTTGTTATGGTTCTCTTCAAAGCGGCACTGGTCTCCACTCGTGGAACCAGACAGGAGAGATGGGGCTTGCACGTGGGCTGGTGGCACTATGAGTACACGCTTATCCGCTTAAAAAGGGGAACAACACTGTAATGAATAATGATTCATGATTCATGAGAATAGGAAGTTAAATCCATTAGGGAGTAACTTGATATGTTTGGTCACTTTCTCTCCTAACATCTGGCATCTGTGGGTCCTGAGTAACTCAAACCAACAAGGAGTAAATAATATATCTATATCTATATCTATCTATCTATCTATCTATCTATATCTATATAATTTGTACGTTTTTGAAAGTAGGCTAACAATGTACTACTGATTTTCTAAATAACTCAAGGATACTGAAAATAGGGGGAGAAAAGTAAAGGAACAGTCATAACACTGCTATCTTTAAAAATAATAAGACTACTTTGACCTTATTTTCAGGGCCAAAAGAACACTTAAACAAAACCCTACTTCATATCGTTTGCGCAAGTCGACTAAGGAGAATGTTCGAGCTGATCTAGGAGCAGATGTTTATCACGTCTGAAGATGCTTAAAATACTAACAAACAAATGTGGCCGCTGGTGTGAGATCTGGTCTGTGAGAAAGGATAAGAAATCCACATTTATGAAGTGTACTTCAGCATATGCCAGTAAGAGTTTTGTCACAAAACGGAGTATGGAAAGCTCACACAGTGCTCGCACATTTCATAAACAGACGAGAATAAAAGGCTGAAATTTCCCAAATCCACATCCGTTGCCTGCCTGCATGATCCTCAGAGTGGTGCAGATTTTCTCGATACGGTCAGTGCCAGATTTTTTTTTGGTGGGGAAAGATTTGAACAAAAAAAAAAAAAATCACTTTTTTTCTCGTTTCTTTCTTTCTTTAAAAATAAATAAATAAATAAAATCAGTGTGTTCGTTTTCAGTGACTAACCTCTTCTGAGCCCCTCTGTAGCTTTAACCAGGTTACAGCCGGAGCAGCGAGACTGTGAGAAACTTTCTCCCCCCCCCCTCCCTCCTATTCTGGATCAAGTTTCTCTGCGGCTTCGTGACCGGCCCGAGATTTCTCTGTGATTTTAAGTTAACGCTGACAGAGAAGAAAGTGAAAGCCTGCTTACCATTAAGACCCAACTACGTACACCTCACATACCTTTGTTTTCCGCCAGACCGCAGAAGCTCAGCCAAAGCAGAGACGTGAGACTGATCCACTTGAGAAAACGGGCTGCCATCGTGTTATTTTGAAGCTCCCGGTGAGAAGGTGTCATTCCATGCCAACAAGCCGAGATATTCCGCTTTCCCAAAACTTAAAAACGTCGCCTTTTCCCTCTCCTTCTCTGCTCGTTGAGTAAAAAAGACTTTTCCTTCTGTGGGCAACTCAAACTTTGACAGCTCCTCCTCCTCCTCCTCGCAGATATCTTCAGCAGTCCCAGCTCAGGCAGCGAGTGAGGACAAACTACTGGCTTGATCTGACGTCACCACGAGGTAGGACAGATGCGCCTCTCGCGCAGGTACACGCCGGATGTACAAAGAACTGCACAAAGCAAACAGGAAAAAACGAAAAAAAGGGGGAAAGAAAGGCAGTGTTTTCGGAAAATGGACTGCACTGTAGAAAAGTGGCCATAATGTGAGCTGCAGCGTGCATTAAAACATGTACAAATAAAAAAAGCTGAATAAACTTCCTTGAGCAAACAACGGCAATAACAGTAGCTCAGTAGCTGCAGAACAGAAACACCGACTTTTATGGTCTGTTTTCTTAGTTTGGTGAAGAAAAAGACAAACAAGCAAAAGAGGAAAATGTCCCTCATAAAGTCACTGACAACCTGAAAGAGCCTCGTCGATATTCGATGAATGGAATATCAGCTGTTTTCTTTCATCAGTACATTTTAATTTCTATTTTTGAAATTTGTCATAAATACGAAAATAAATACATAAACAAATAAGCAAAAGGAAAAAAAAATCCTTGTTAATTTTGTGCCAAAAATGGTTGTATTTAAATTGTGGTAAATGAGTTGTGGACCATATTTAGCCAGAGCATAGAAGGTGCAATCAGGGTTTTTTTTGTTTGTTTGTTTGTTTGTTTGTTTGAAAGTGACTTTTATATATCCTTTATTTATCTGGGTAAATAAAAGTGTAATTGACATTAAAAATGTCTTTATCAACAGATGAGACCAGTGGAAATTGAAGCAAATAACACATCAGAGCCATGAAGACACTTGGAAAACAGGTTATTTCTTTATTTTATATATATCTCCCTAAAAAATCTTCTTGACTATGGTCAGCATTTGCCATTACACATAGAAAATAGAAACACTGCAAATTACTTTTTGGCACAACACAGTTACACCACGTTGGACCGCATTTGCCTTAACCACCTTAATTGTTTGTAGCATAGATTCAACAATCCGCTGGAAACATTCCCCAAAGATTTTTGCCCATATTAAGCATCACACAATCGCTGCAGATTTGTCGGCTGCATATCCGAATTTCCTGTTCCATCACATTCCAAAAGTCCTCTATTGGACTGGAATCTGGTAACTGGAGGCTGTATAAGTACAGAGGTTATGTTCAAGCAATCAGTTTGAGAAAATCTGAGCTGTCTGATGGTTGTAAGGAGCCATAATAAGATGGACATGGTCAGCAACAATCCTCAGGTAGGCTGTGGCTTTTGAAGGATGCTCAGTTCAATTCAAAATCCTGCTCCTCACATACAAGGTCTTAAATAATCAGGCCCCATCTTATCTTAATGACCTTGTAGTACCATATCACCCTATTAGAGCACTT